AACTGAATCTAAAATTTACCAGTTCGACCAACAATTCCAATCTTTTCAGCAGCCATAATATCAAGTGAGATGCCTTTTAAAATTAGAGGACTATCAAGTCCATATTTAATTTCTAAATTTTTAATATGAATCTCTCCGTGTGATGGCCATTCAGGTGGTGGTCTGTTATCCGGTATTATACTCTCAGCTTCTATTTCCAATTTATCAATGTAATAAACTAAACGTTCCACTGAATTCATATTTGTTTCCTATTATTATGCAATAATAAATTATTAATTTAAAATATATTATTAAAATATCATTTACTTACCACTTCAGTAAAATATTTGACACATAAATTAAAAAATGATGTAAGTCGAAGTGCATAAGATAATACTAATCCAGTAATTGAAGGTGAAACATTAAATCGAAAAATTATTGCAAATAAGCTTGCAAAAAACACTATAATATTTGCGATAAATTCAAGGCGCGATCCAAGCCATCGTTGGGCACTTATAATGAGAAAGTATGCTCTATTTTCGATGTCTAAAAACGCTTCATTATTTCTATTTTATTTTTAAGTATATTTTCAGACGAAAAGGTAATTATATTAAGAAAATTAAAATATTAAAATATTAAATTTTAAAAACCTCAAAAATCTTTCTTGCTCATGACAAGCGCGAATAATCGGCAGCCCTGTAAGTGTCTCAGAAAAATGAGTATATAGTGAAGATCTTAATACTGAATGAATGCCTATAATAAAAAAATTTTTTTTAAAAAAAGGTATATATACATATATAGTAATTTATTGCTGGCAATGATGATAAGGATAATTACGCTTTAATTCACGACTAGATGCCCGATAATAAAGAGCCGTTAAATAATAAAGTATGATCAAAGGAACTAAAGGGATAATAAACCACACAAACACCACTGCAGTAAGAATAAAAATTCCAATAATGTTTGCTAAAGTTGTGAGAAACATTCGATATGAGTCAGAAAGTAAACTGTCACATGTGTCGATATCATTACTGAATCTGGATATTAAATGAATTTGGATTAGAAAATATTATATCTTAAAAAATAAAATATTAAATGATAAGTTGGATATGACAATCACCGATTAATAATTCTTCCTAAAGGAGTTGTATCAAAAAAACGTGTTGGTGTTCTTAATACACGTTTAATTGCGTTATTATGCAATCTCTTAGATGCATTGACACCGTTGTAAGAAAATGCAACACTACTTAAAACTGCAAAAATCCCTTGAGCGACACCCCATGAGCAATAAACACCCATCTATTAATGCAAATTAGTGTTTTAAATAGTATAAATAAATTAGTTGTGTCTGGTTACAATGTAATTTAAGACTTCATAAATTTTTAAAGATATCTACATAATGTCCTACTGAAATGTTAAACGTGTTGTTGGACCAGAACGAAAGCCATAAATTATTTCTATAAAAAGAAAATTTCCTCAATTATGTATATGATTATGTATGTAATTCAAAATGTTATTAGGTGAAACATACCCAATATCTGTTCCTATCGTCATAACAAGTAAAAAAATAATGACTAGCACCAATAACAATCCACCAACATTCCTAATATATGTTAAATATATTTCATTATTCACTGCTCCTCTATACTGTTCTTCTGTTGACATTAATTCATTATACAAAATAACTGTCTGATCTTTTTTGCTTTCTTTATCGTCATCTAAAGTTAGCTCTTTGTCTTCTTTCATTTCACTATCATTTTCAGCTTTACCATATTCAGCAATAAACTTCGAACAATTTTTCCCATTTTTCATTAATTCTTCGTAAGTTCCTTGTTCAGCGATTTCACCATCTTCCATACATATTATGTAATCAACTTGTGGTAGATAATTTAAATGATGTGTGACAAGTAGACGTGTTTTTTTGGTAAATGCACTTTGAATACAATTTGTAAATAAATATTTTCCAACATGTGCGTCAACTGCAGACAATGGATCATCTAATAACACAATA